AACGAAGACCCAACACAGCAAAAATTAATTAATAAACTTCTACCCCCAACATCTTAAAAAAAAAAAGGCCCCCAGCCCCCAGTCGGGCACTGTGCCCATTCCTCACTGCACCCTCCACCTCTAACCCTCTCCACAACCTCTAGTTTCCCAGGCAGCCGTGCTGCAGTTTGGGGCTCTGCCCAGGAACACCCTTGCCTCTCCACCCTCCTCATCTTCCTGGCCAACACGAAGCTTTCCCAAACCCCTTCCTGTCCTCCCAGACCTGCCCCCCAGCTCTCATACTGACCTGGGGCACATCTCTGGCTGCATTTACTACCCTCATCCGTGACCTTGTATCTGAGGGTCGGTCTCCCTCACCAGACTGTGCTCCCTGGGCGGTCCGATACAGACAAGTGTGACCAATGAGTAAATGAGCAATTGAGTAGCCAGAGCAGGGCAAAGCAGCATTTCACTCAACTGATCCCCCAATGATTCTTTGGGTAGGCCAAAGAAAACCCAACACACGTGGCCTGGCTCCAAACACCCCCTCCCCCCGCCTCTTCACTCAATAGGCTGTCTGCCTCCTGGCTCCTCTTTAAGTTTCTTTTTACCTTTCCCCTGCAAGACTCTTCTAGGGCCCACTTTCTTCTGTAGGTCTACCTCCCTCCCTGTGATATTTTTTACTCTCCCCTCAGTCCCGAGGGAGTTGAGGACAGAAATTGTATTTTATCAATCTTGTGTCCTCAGCCTCTCCATGACCACATTTGCTAAATGCTGGTTGAATGAAGGCGTGTGTGATAAACGTGGCACTGTCTCAGCTCACTACTTTACCTGACAGACCCTTTAAAGGCAGGATCCCTTCTCAAGTACCCAACCATTCGTGGCCGTTAAGGGTCAGCTCTGTGCCAGGCACTGAGCCAAGTGCTTCTACACACACCCTTCCTCACTCTCTGCCTTCCCTCCCACCTCGCCCCCAGATGGGAGCGTTTTCCTGCAAGGTTTGCTGGCCTCCTCAGCTTCGGCTGCCCTCCACCTGTGAGCGGATGTGTTTATGGATATCCAGCTCAGCTGCTCTCCCCCAACTGCAGTATGGCCACAGGTGCTGTGCATTTAGTGCCTCTACCTCAATCCTAACGGCCTATGAGGTGAGCATAGTATTATCTGAAGAGATCACGGTCCTGAGAACTTTGGTGATGCGTCCCAAATCATACCTCTAAGTAGCAGGGTCGAGATTCAAACCAGGTATGTCCAAATCCCAGGCCCATCACAGAGATAACCACTAGACCAGACCATCTGGATGTCTCAAGTGCTCTAAACTTGCAAATCACATGCCAGATGCAGGACGCCTTTTTGTTAAAAGGGTGGAGGAGCGAGCGGACCTCTCTCCTTCGACATGTTCATCTCATACAGAGTTCACTCCCTGAGGAATGTTACTCCTGTCCACCTAGCTGCACAGGCCAGAAACTTGGAAGTCACCTGGTCTAACTTCCCAAACATAACCAACCGCAAACCCAGTTCTGTCCATTTTTGTCTCTAAATATCTCTTGACTCCACCTGACTCTCACATTCCCCATCCCCACTCCCTGGCTTCTTTCTGGCCATCACCATCTCTTACCACAATGGTTTCTCCACCTTAGTCTTACTTCCACACACAGCGCGATCTCGATGCTATCGCTAAAACATAAACCTGGCCATATCATTCTCTTGCTTAAAATCCTTCAGTGGCTTCAGAACAACTCTGTCCTCAGGATAACTTCCAGATTCTTTATCTTTTCTTAAAGGCACTTATTCTCTCTAGTCCCCGCTAAGTGTTCGCACGTGCTGCTCCTCTTCCTGAGAACACCCTCTCGTCCTCACCTCTAGCCCTTCATCCTGCTGGCGGCCTTCTCTGCGCGCCCCCTCTCCCATGGGTTAGTTACACCTGATGTTTGCTTCCACGTACTTCTCACGTTTTAGCAATTGACACAGTGCTTTGTCAACCCTCTACCTCACTACAGAGTATCATCATTAACTTGCCCATCCTTTTATTAACTGAATAAATAACACTAGCTGTGTCACAGTTACATACATACACGATACAGACTCGGACCTTACTCTCGAGAACAGGTACCGTCTTTTCTTTGGCGTCTCGCCGCCTAACAGCAGTAGCCTCAACAAGTTTGTCGAACTTACCGATCGAACGCGCCTCCGAGAGACTGCTGTGCCGCGTGGACTTCTGGGAACCGTAGCTCCCCGGTTCGGACCTCCCTTTTATGGCGCAGCCGTATTCGGATTCCGGCGCTTTTTGCTCTTAATGCGCATGTCCCAGGAGGCGGAGTGGTGGAACTGCGCATGCCTAAAGAGCGGGGCGGGGGGGAGGTGCGGCCGAAAAGGAGGTGCACTGCCGCGGCGGGGCTTTGGTGACACCCGGAGGCTGCGGCTGATCGTTGCCGGACTGTGAGGATGGCGGGGAGGGGGAAGCTAATTGCGGTGATCGGAGACGAGGACACGGTGACTGGCTTCCTGCTGGGCGGCATAGGGGAGCTTAACAAGAACCGCCACCCTAATTTCCTGGTGGTGGAGAAAGATACTACCATCAATGAGATCGAAGACACTTTCCGGTACGGTAGCCCGCGAGGCCTGAACGGGACCTTCAGCTGCCTGGTGGGAGCGCGGGGAGAAGGCGGGGGCGGCCCTGGGCTTCCAGACCTTGGCCGAAGTGTCAGACCCCGTCCACGAGGGTCGAGGAAGTCGGTCCACCTCCCCTTCCGGAGAGGGGGCCTCCGCGTCCCAAGTTCCCTTTTGGGTCTCGGTGGGACCGGGGCTATGTCGGGTCCACAAACTCCCCCCTGTCACATGACCGTGTGTCAGGAAAGAAGGGGAACAGAGCTCGTGACGGGCGGGCGCCAGCCCCTTGGCCAAGCCTGGCCCGCCAGAGCTGAGCGTCCGGAGGGTCCAGGCCCGGAGGGGGCTAGTCTCAGCTCCCCTGCAGGGGCTCCCACATTTCACCCGTAGAGCAGGCTCCGGGCATTGCAAGCACTCGACTCTCTTGCGAGTTGACACCTAAAGGAACCACACACTCAGTGAACACACGGGCAGTGGGCTCGGGCTTTCCTGTATTTTCATCTCCCTCAGAGGCTCACAATCGCCTTGTGAGGTAGGGGTTATTCCCACTTACTGGTGAGAAAATTAAGTTCAGAGAGGTTAAGGCACACTCTGATTCAGACGAGAGCGAGCAGGGATTTGAGCCCAGTCCCACCCTTTCTGCCTTTCTTAAGCCAGGGCTACACTCTGCCTGTGTAGCTCTCCTCAGTCGGCTTCGGAATTTCCCGTTGTCCTGAGCACAGGGGACAATATCAGGACTGTCCTACCTTCTGCTGAGACCATGCACTTCAAATCTTCCCTTCCTGTTCTGGGTTAAGAGCAATAGCTTCAAAATGTGGGTGCAGGCATGTCCCTTAATCCAGGAGGCGTCCTGGTGGCTAGAGTTAAGGGTGCCAGCCCCCTATTCTCTCCCACACCCCTTCTCTAGGGCCCCTGTGCCAAGTCCCAGGAACAAACCACTCCCACTGTTTCCCCCTAAACAGCCCAGCCCTGAGCTACCGGCTGAGGCTGGTTCCTGCTGCCTGGGGTGTGATAGGCCCTGACCCGGGAGGCTGATCTCTGCCGCTCTCTAAGCAGTCCGGTAAAGTGACCCAAGTTGTCATGAGAGAAGGACAAATTTTACTTCAAGAATTTTCCAAGTTTCTAACCAAAAGGGATCTCAGAAATCATCAAGTCTAACCTGCCCTAGTGTCTGGCACAGAGTAAGCTGCTCAGTAAACAGTTTTTATCGAGTAAATAAATGAATGGGTGGTTGATCACAAGAAAGTAAGAGCCCAGTGTCGGGTTCTCTCTGTGTGGAAAGTGTGATTCCTTCGTTACCGATTTTCCTCTTCCTGTGTTGCGTTCTTGGCTCAGGCCAAACTTCCCCTCTGACTCACCCCCTGCCCTCATCAGCATAGACCTTCAGTGGTCTGTACAGCGCCCCCTCAACCTTAAAAAATTTAATCTGTTTTCTTTTGAAAGGTTAATGTGTTCATGTGGCTTACAAATTAATATTTAAAAGGTATATACATTGAGAAGTCACACTCCCACCCCAACCTCTTCTACTTCATTACCTCCTTCCTCCACCCCGTAACCACTTAGTTTTTTCCTTATCTTTCTTTTTCTTTATGCAGATACAAAGGGACAGATGTATATATTCTTATCCTCTCCCTTTCTTACCCGAAGGCAGCGTAAGGAATACACCAGCATGCACCCTCATCTTCATTAGCTGTTCAGTTGGGAGCCTTCCAGGCAGGGGAGGTAGAAGCCATGGCCCTTAGCTTTGGACTGAAATTGATTCTAAATAGAATGAAGAGAGTTTAGTGTAGCACCCTTGTCCATTGCACTCTCTGGATCGAGCTCGTTCCCCTCTGCAGCCCAGCCCACCAACTCAGAGTGGGCTGCCTTGGACTCCCTTCTCATCTCTCCCTACAGGCAGTTTCTAAACCGGGACGACATCGGCATCATCCTCATCAACCAGTACATCGCAGAGATGGTGCGGCACGCGCTCGATGCCCACCAGCGCTCCATTCCGGCCGTGCTGGAGATCCCATCCAAGGAGCACCCCTACGATGCTGCCAAGGACTCCATCCTGCGCCGGGCCAGGGGCATGTTCACGGCCGAAGACCTGCGCTAGGGAACTCCCCTCAGCCATGTGGCCTCTCCCCAGGCTTGCCATCAGCCCTCCTCTAAAATTCGAGCCTCTGAGTTCCAATTCCCTGCCCCTTCCCACTCCACTGAGAGGCTAGGTGAGGTGCTTCCAGTTTGCTGGGCCTCTGCCATTCAAATCAAGGCTGGTTAGGGTATAGGAAGCCTGAGTGTCTTCTCTCCATTACCTCTTCCCTGTGCTGTTATACAGTGTCCTTGTTGATGTTAAATTAAAGTAGTTCTTGCTTCTCTCCGATCTGAGGCTGGGTGCTAGAAAGGACACGTGTGGGATGAGGCTGTTGTGGGGAGGCGGTGGGGGAGTGGACTCGACTGGCAGGGCTGGAAAAGGTTTTGCCAGAGATCCAGGCATAGAGGAGTTGGACCAGGAAGATTGTGCCAGGTTGGCCGTCTGAATTAAAGGTAGCCAGCTCTGGCAGGGAGGAAGGGAAGGAGGCTTGCGTCCAGTCCCCTGGCACCCCAGCTTGAGTCTGTATTGGCTGGGAGGGGACCAGACCTCAAGGGAAGGAAGCAGAAATCACAGGAAACCTGGAAGCCTGTGATACTAGCCTGGGTCAAGCAAGAGGTTTGGGGATCAAGGCTCTTAGCCAGTGGGCCCCGGCCTGAGGCTGCCTCAGCAAGCGAGGCATGTGAGGCGCTGAGGGCATGGCCCTGTGTGAGGTGAGGCTCGGTTGCCGAGCGACCATCCCTGGGCAGCCACCTGCTGTCAGAAAGGCTCTGCTTGCTGCGCTCACCCCTCAGCTGCAGTCACCCTGGTCCTGCTCCTTCCTTCGCCACCATGTCTCGGCAACTTAACATGGACACGGTGCGGCAGAACTTCTGGAAGGAGCAGTATCTGAGGGAGAAGGTGTTGCGCTGTGAATGGCACCGCAAGTATGGGTCGATGGTGAAGGCCAAGCAGAAGGCTAAGACTGCAGCCCACGTACCCCTCAAGCTGCCCACCCTGCCCCCCAAAGCCCCACTCTCACCCCTGCCCGCCCCCAAAGCCGTTCCTTCCGAGGCCCCCAGCCCTGCCCTGGAGGCTCCTATTCAGCCAGAAATGTACCCAGTCCTGCCTGCCACCCGGGCCCTGCTGTATGAAGGCATCTCCCACGACTTTCAGGGCCGCTACCGCTACCTCAACACCCGAAAACTGGACATGCCAGAGAGGCGCTACCTCTTCCCCATCACCACCAACTTCACATATGGCTGGCAGCTGGGTGAGCCCTAACCTCCCAGAAATTATTCGCCTCACAAACACAGAGCACCTGCCACGAGCTAGGCAGCGCTCTCGGCGCTAGACACACAAGGCACGTGGACACTCCTTTTGGGGACGTCCATTCTAGTGGAGGGTCCAGGCCATAAACATAAGAGCAAGAGAGGGCCAGGCATGGTGGGGGAGGGGGACAGGGCACGTGTGCGGCTTTAGACTGGACTGTCAGGAAAGGCCTCTCTGGGGACCTAAAGGCTGAGTGAGCTAAATGACGAGGAGGAGTTTGGGTTTTACTCTAAATTCGAGGGGAAGCCATGGAGAGTTTTAAACAGGTAAATGATACTGATACACTTTTTAAAAAAATATCACCCTGACTATTCTGTAGGTAATGGCCTTTTTAGGGACACGAGTAGGCTCTGGCAGGTGGCTAAGCTATCCTGGCAAGAGATGACGATGGCTTGGGCTAGGGTGATTGGCGGTAGAGCTGAAATAGATTCCAGATATGTTTTGGAGGAAGAATCAAGAGAACTTACTGATGGTTTGAAAGAGACAAGGAAAGAGAATGCAATGGCCATGCCCAGGTGTTCAGCTGAAGCAGCTACAGCAGGGGAGACTGGGGCGGGGGCAGGGCTGGGGGTGTGTGAAGACAGGTCAGTGTTGGGTGTTTTGCGCTGGAGGTGTTGGTGAGTCGGCTGTGTATGGGAGTCGCCCTATGGAGGGAGGTCAGAGATAAAGATGCAGTTTTGGGGGTCATCAGAATATAGGTGCTCTTTAAAGCCCCGAGACTGGGTGGGCTTACCCAGGGAGCTCCAGGGCTGGATCAAACTGGAGAAGGCAGAGGACACAGCGAGGGGTAGGAGATGGTATTGGCCAGAAGGCTGTCCATCTGGATTGAGTCATGGTCATCGGCTGGGCAGGAGAGGAGCGAAGGCAATGGTGCAGCTGGAGATGAAGAGTCCAGGTGTGGGGAAAAGAATATGCCAGGGAGTGTTGTGGGTTTTCTGGGTGATGAGACATGTCCCTTTGCTGTCTGTGGTCATGAATTTCAAGTGAGACTACTCAGTCACATGTTTTCTCCAGCTCCTGCACAGAAAAGGTGGATGGCTGGTGATAAACACAGTTGAAATTTTACCTAAAAAAAATCCCCCTACTTTCCCCAGGGCCCTAAATGGGGAGGAAAGGGAGCAATTTCCAAATGAAAGAAGGAGGTGAACCCCGAAAGGGGAGCAGGAGGTAGAAAGAAGCCCTGTCTGCCCCAGAGAAGTCTAGCTCTGTCTGTAACAAGCACGGCTGGGAGTCCCACCACCCGCCTCCATGGAGGATTCTGAGGCTGGGGGAAATGCTGGCACACAGCTGACTGGCATTTGGCCATCACTGCTGATCCAGGCAGCCAGCCAGCTCCCTGTTTCCGCATAGCCCCCACTCCTCAGAAGCACTTCTTTTTATTTTTTCACACTTACAAAGTGGATACAACACAGGCAGATTCCTAGGGTTATGCAGGCAGGGCTCCCGGGCTCTGCGAGTTCCTTTCCCAGGAATCCATTCCTGGCCTCTGACATCTTTTTCCAGGCCCCCCAGTGAAGCAAGAACTGGTCTCCTGCAAGATGTGCCGCATTGAATCTTTCTTCCGCAAGAATGGGGCCTTCGCACTGCTTGACCCCCGGGACCTGGCCCTCTGACCTTGGGCCAGGCAGTGGGCTTAGGGGAGGGAAGAAGAAATAACACACGTGGTGGGCCGAAAGTGCCATGCGTGTCTGTGTCTGGCTCTCCCCAGGCCCTGAGGCTGCGTTCCGGGCCTTTCTGAAACTACCTCTGACCTACAGGTTGCCCTCTTGCTTTTTCCTTAAATCCCCGTCTCTTTAATCGTCCCTTTGAGGATTCAGCAGTGACCAGAGAGGGCTGGGAAGAGTGAGCGATGCTCTCCAGGCGCAGGCTCCTCAGAGCCAGGGGGCCACAGAAGTTGCTGGAAGTTCTGGGTGTTCCTGTGTAAAGAGTGGCCTTTCATCCCAGATGCCAGGGAAAAGGGACGGCCACCACCCCACAAGCCTCCCCGCCCGAACCCCTCACCTGACCCCGAGGGCTCGCAGCCGCCCGGTCCTCTCCCGTTGCATTTGCTTCAGCTGCTCCCGCAGGGCGCTCCGCTGCCCGGCCGCGTCCTCCTGGGGCGGCGCCGAGCGCTGAGCGCCCGCGCCTCCCAGCCCCGGGGCTCGATGCGGCCAGCAGAGGGCAGCAGCCGGGCAGGCCGGCCCCTCCCGCTCCGCAGGTGTCATCGCAAGTGCGCGGTGCGCGCAAGTCAAAGGGACCCAGGTCGCGCCCCGTCCCCCGCCCAGGCAGGGTTTTGGCGGCCCCACCGCCTTCTCCTAGGGGTCTTGCCTGTCGTGGGAGCTGAGCCGGGCTCGGTGGGGGTCTCAAGGGATGCACGCGGCAGTGGCGGTTCCTGGCGATGCGGAGGCGTTCCAAGACCTGGAGGAGGCTTCTGTCAGCAGCCGATCGGCCGCCCCCTGGTGCCCCGCCCTCCCGGCCCGGCCGCGCACCCGGAGCCGCTGCTGCTCGCGGTCCTGTTGCCGCCGACGCCTGGCCTCACTGTGCAGCTCCAGCAGCCGCTGCAGAGCCGTCTCCTGCTGCGCCGCGCTCACGCCCGCAGACCGCCTGTCCCTGCTCGGGGACTCGGGCCACGCGGTCTTCGAGGCTCTGGGGGCCTCGGCACCTTCCCTCCGCCCCCCGAGGGCGCCCGGGAGCCCCATGGAGCCGCCCAGCTCCTGCTCCGCGGGGCCAGGGCTTCCTCCCGGGCCCCGAAGCGAGTGCGGATCGCTCAGCAGGCCCGGATGCCCTGGGAGAGCTGCGGGGCGCTCCCGCTGCTCGGAACCACCAGTGCGTAGGGCCGCCAGCAACACCGCTCCTGGGCGTGGGAGCGGCGGCCGGGCCGGAGGCCCCGGGGGCGTAAGGGGAGCCGGCGCCCCTTCCCGGGCGGGCCCCTGCTCTCTCACGGCCGCTGCGCTGTCTCCTCTCGGGCCACCGGTCTTAACCTGCCTCAGCTGCGTGGTTCTTCCCCGCGGGTGCGCGCCCTCCCTTCCCCCAGGCTGCGGCATCCGTTCTCCCAGGGGCCTGCAGAAGCCCCCCGGAATCCCCAGGGAGCCGCCTTCCTCCCGGGGCGGTGTAGGTGCCTCTCCCCGAGCCACCTCCCAGGCTTGTGAGATACGGCTTCTGCCCTCGGAAGACTGAAGCATCTTCACTTCCGGGCCCTGAGGAGAATCCTCGCTCTGCTCCGGGAGGACCTCCTTTCTCCGGCACTTAAGGCGACTTCCGCTTTGACTTCGAGGTGCCTCTTTGTTCTCACCCTGGGAGGCCTCCCACCTTTGACCTTCCGAGACCTCTTCCCTCAGAGCCTGAGGGGCCTCCCCGCTCTGACCCTCGTTTGTCTTCTCTCTCTTACTTGGGGGAACTTCTTTGTCCTCCCCCTGGAGGGCCTTCCCTCTCTGATGCTGAGGGGCCCCCTCTCTCTGACTCTGAGGAATCTCAATTCTTAGCAGTTTCTTTAGTTCTGCTCTCTCCTGGCCCAGGCTGCAGCCCAGCCCCTCCAGGGGGTCCAGGGGTTCTGGCAGGCCCTGGGAGGGGAGGCCTGAGGGCCCTGGGGCTCCCTGAGCCAGCTTCTTCTCCTGTAGGCTTCTGGATGGTGGTTGATGGGGCCCCTGGGGCGTGGGCCCTGCTAGCTCCCCGTCTTCCCTCTGGGCCAGCTCCTAGGAAGGAAGAGCACCCTTCCCGGGTTTGTGAGGGAATCCTCGTGCCAGGGCCACTTCCCCCAGGGGAGCCTGGAGACCCCAGTGGCTACCCCAGTGGGCCTCACTTCCATTAGGGCCCTTGCCCGATTCCTAAATTCGTAAAACCCATGTTATGTAGTGTAAAAGGGGCTTCAGTGATGGCCCCTTCTTCCATCTGGCTGTGGGCTTCTCACCCCTGCAGTCTCCTCCCAGGCACACCCCACCTCTGCTATCCCCAATCTGAGAGGGGTCTTGCCCAGGACGCTTCGACCCTTTCACCTTGAACTCTGAGCTTCCTGGTTCTCCAGAGCTACTGCTGGTGGTGAGGTTCAGCTCTTGTGAGCAACCTGAGGGAGAGAGACAGATGTTGAGAGCCCTCTGCTCCTGTCCCAGGCCCTCACACACATCCCACAGCACTGGAACCAAGAAGCCTAGGGAGTCCCCAGCACGTGAGGGGATGTGGTGGTGGGGTACCCTGAGGGTTGGTGTTGGAACTTCAAGGCCGTCGCAGTTCATCATTCCACCTTTATTTACACAGCCTGCTATGTGCCTGCTTCTCAGGCTTGCCTGCCAGCAGCAGACCCCATCTTCCTCATCCTCCCAGCCAAGGACCACCTCCGAGGAACCTGCACACCCTCTTCCTCAAAACCGCTAGGGGAGGCCCAGGAGCAGGAAGGGACTGGTTTCCAGGCTCCTCAGTCCCTCATAAGGACACGCGCACTTTGTCCTTGTGTGCCTGTCCAGCCCCACAACATGCACCTGACTTTCCTATTATTAAGGCTAATCCTCTTTAGCTCTTCCTTGGTTTCCGACAGCAAAACCAAATGAAATTCAAGAAGTGGAATTTTAGGCCAGAGGCTAGCCTAAAAACTGCAAGTCTTCATAATTAACGAAAGGAATCTAAAAAAAGAGATGAAATGTCGCTGCTCCTTTGCAGCTGTGGAGGAAGGAGCATCGTTTTGCATCCATAAAACTACTTAGAAGAACCTGATCTCGTCTTAAATTGAGAACTCCCACAAGAAATGCCATCTTTATGCAATATGGACATGAGAATATTCATAACGGTAACCAAATGGGAATGTTCTCTGTGAAAACAAATCTGTCTTTTGAAGAGTTCTGAACAAAGAGGTCTGATAAGACTCCCAAGCCTTCAGAAATTATTGCCATGAACTGTGAAAATAACCTCCAACCCTGTCCCTCTGTAATTCTGATCTGTTGTCTTACTAGATCATTTATTTCACTGGTTATAATGTTGTGATAGATGTCTCCCATCAATGTATTCCCAAGAGATAATATACTTGTAAAAATTTTTCTGTCAATCAGAAAATAATCATCGGCACTTTCCTCCTCTCTCCCATGCATGATGTCACAATTAAAAGCTTATGAGTTTGCTAGGCTTATTATTTAACAAATCATTTGACAGCCTGTTTCATTTAAATTAAATTAACAGGCCCAGGGCTCACAGCATCCATCCCACTGAATTCTAATTGCCTGTTTATTGTCACACCCTCTCACTAGGCTGTGATCTCCTCAGGGATGAGGACAACTGACTGGCCAAGTCTCTTTTGTGCCCTGTATCTCCCCAGTGCCTGGCATGAGGGTGGCAGCTAGGCAGCTTGGAGCTGCCATTCCATTCCCTCCTCGCTGGAGGACAGGGAGGACAGACAGTCATTCCCAGCACTTTCTCCTCTGAGCCCCAGCTTAGCTTCAGAATCCTCCTGGACACAGTGCCTGAGACAGCTGGCACCAATCAGGTGGAATTGGCGTATAAAAGAAAACCTACTTGCTGTCCCTGGGTGCCCCTGGCAGCCCACAAAAAGGTATGAGGCAAAGAATAGGTGAGGATGGACTGGAATCCTGGGACTTGGGGTGAGGGCTTCCCCGCTCCTCCCAACCTAGGCTGGCCACTCCAGCCCAGGGGCTCCTGTTCTCCTGGCTGTAAACCCCTGCTGTCAACGTACCAGATGTGGGCCCTTCTGCAGGCATGCCAGGGCTCTCCCACCTTGGGTCTGCATCAAAGCTGGCTTCAGTCAGATCCAGGGCTGATGACGGGTCCTTTGCCAGCCCCCTGCAGGAGTGCAAAGGCTGCCTCAGGTGCACCTCTTGCATCTGGGCTCCGATCGGCTGGGGGCAGCCTGTCTGCCAGACTCCTCACCCACGGCAGGCTGCGGAGCCTTCCCACCCCAAGATCGAAACTCAGTCCATGGAGGCCTTCCCCACGCCTGCACCCACCACTGGGTTCCAGGAGCTGGAACTCAGGGTTACCCTGTCCAGAGGCTGTGGGGCAACCACATGGGTACAACTGAGTGAGAACCCCAGGAGGATCTGGGGGCCCGAGGAGGGGTCGCTGGGCAGGGCTGTGGAGGGAGACGGGGCAAAGGGTCCAGTGTTTGGTCACTTTGTGTGGCAACACGGAGTGGACAGAATTCCCTGGGAGACTCACCCCTCCAGAAGCTGACGGTCCTGGCTCAGGGAGTCCTCAGCCTGGGGCGATGGGCACAGCCTGGAATTCTGGAAGGATTGGGGGGGGGTACCCTAGTCTACAGGGCATCATCCCCCAATGTGGCAGGCAGCCTCTACAACAGCCCCCAGTGATCCCTCCTCCTGGCAACTGTGCCCTTGTGTGACACCCCCCCCTTCCCCTCCAAGTGAAGGAGCTTGGAAATGGATCCCTCCTGCCCACTGAAGCCTTCAGATGAGACTGCAGCCTTGGCTAAAAGTGTTGGCTGGATACTTCCTTAGTGGTCATGACTAACACCCCCTCCTGCTACAAGCTACTAACCTGCCCAAAGGGCCTCAGGCAGTTGGTGGCTGAGCCAGGACTCGAGGCACATCCTAGTTCCCAGTCACCACAGCACCCTCCTTCCTAGAAGGGTGGGACCAGCCACCAGCCCCGGAAGGAGGGGCCTGGGGCTGGGGCTGCTCAGGGTCTCATCTCCGGGGCACCCTGGGCATCAGTGCCTCTGCCCTCTGGGCACCGCCAGGCCTGCTTTCCTCCCTTGCTGCAGCCATGTCTAAAGGCTTCTAGGTGTCACCACGCTGTTGATTTGACCAAGATAGTTCACTGTGGAATGGTAGCAAGCCAGAATGGTCCTGTATGCCAGGCATGGTGCTAAATCCTTTACACAGATGAGTTCACAATCCTCCCAGCAGCGCTCTGAAAAAGAGCTATTATCTTCCCCATCTTGTAGCTGAGGAAACAGGCTTACGGTCCACAGGGAGCGTCAGAGCAGAGATTTGAACCCAGATCCATCTGTCTCCAGAGCCCACATTCCTTCCACTTCTCAACCACTACAAGTGCCCCAGTGTTTCACTGACACCCCCGCCCTCAGCCACACCCCAGCTCACCCCACTCGTCCGCCGCTCAGAGCCCCCATCCGTCCTACCACGGGGCTTGCTGCACTGGCTCCACGCACACTGGGCCCAGTCCCTCAGACCGCAGAACTGGGCCCAGGGGGGCCAGGAGACGCCCAGCCCCACCCCGGTCAGCAGCTCCAAATCCCACAGGAGCTGCAGGAAGGTGGGGTGCCAGGATGTGAGCGGGCACACACCCTGCGCTCTGCCACCCTCCCTGGCCGACGACCGCCTACCTGCTCCTGGGCCCGCCGGCTCCGCTCCATCTGCAGCAGCACGGTGGGCAGTTCGAGGCCTGAGGGACAGGTCCGGCCGTCTCCCACATGGGGAGGCAAGGTGGAGTCAGACCCCACGGAGAGCCTGCCCCCTCGTATATGGTGCCCTGTCACCCTCACCTGCTGCAGGGCAGCCCAGAGCTGGCCCAGGCCTACAGGGCACCAGAAGAGGTGCTGGTACAGGGCCAAGGCCTGCTTGGGGCTACAGGGGAGCCCTAGGCCCCCAGGTGTGGCTGCCTGCTCCATGGGGCAGGGAGCCAGGGAGGACGTCCACCCCCCTCCCCTCCCCCAGCTGCTCCTGGAGAGAGGAGGAAGATGAGGAGCTGCGGACAGGTGCAAGAAGGAGACAAAGGCTCCTGGGCTCAGTAACGTGGGGCCCTGACATCTGAGCCAGGGCCTGGGCCTCAGCCAAGTCTCAGAGAAACCTGACTCTGATGCAGGTTTCTCGGCCATGTGGGTGGCAGTGTGGGGTGAGGACTGTGGTCCTGATAGAGAGCGACGTGTGTGCATGTGTTTGCAGTCCCAAATGAGCATCTATTTTATACATACGGTTAGCCCTTAAGCAACACGGGGGTTAGGGGCCCAACCCTCCTTGCAGTCAAAAATCCACATATAACTTATAGTCTGCCCGCCATATCTGAGGATTCAACCTACCTGGGATGGTGTAGTGCTGTAGTATTTACCATTGAAAAAAATCTGAGCATAAGTGGGCCCGTGCAGTTCAAACCCGTGTTGTTCAAATGTCAACTGTATATCTGAAGCTTGCAACTGCATTATATGGTATGTGATATATGCCCAATACAGGCAGCAGCTCCCAACAACTAACTGTATGCCAGGACACAAAATGCTACGTACACGTAATCCTTCCTTGAAGCAACTCTATGAAGTAGGTGGTATCATTTTCATCCCCATTTCACAGAAAAGAAAACCGGGCCCCAGAGAGTAAGCTGTCCTACCTAACACATGGCACTGTCTCCCTCATCTGGGGACAGACAGCACGAGAAACAGGCTCTGGGAAAATGTGGTCCCGAGTGTGAGTAGTAACACGCTTCCCTAGTGCTTGCTCCAAGCTGTCCATGCTCTGTTTATTCTCCGCAACACACGAGATACAGCCGATGAGGACACAGTTTGTAGAAGTAACGACAAGGGGAGGGAACAGGCATACGTGATGGTCTGTAGTCTTCGCATCCCCTGCCGTCATGAGCAGCCTGGCCTGCCTGCCGCTTTGTAACCGCTCCACGAAAGGGGCCCCAGCAGAAGCAGGCTGAGGAAGCAGGCTGGGGCGGGGGCGGGGGGGGGTTGGTTCAGCCCAACGCCCTCCCTTCACTCCCTGTTGGAATACCAGGGTCCCCCCAACCCCAATCTTTAGCTAAGGTCCCTAAGAAAACCAAGGTCACATAGCTGGTAGGTAGCAGAGAGAACTCAAAATACAGTTCTCTTTGAAAAGAGACTTTTCTTGTCAAAGAAAGAGATTTTTTTTTCCTATTTAAAAACCCACGTTCTTTCCCCTATAAGGATGTCTTTGAAAGTCACATGTGTGTCCCCTGCCCACATGTCCGTCAGGGGTGGGTGTAGCTGCGAACACACGAGGGATACATGCATGTGTTTATCTGGGTTTTTGAGGGGTGTGTGTGTGTGTATTTCATCACATGTGTCTGTATGTCATCACAGAAACATTGTCTCTCCTGTTCCCCACCCAGGCGTGGGGTCCTTGTGTCACCAGCTCTTAGGGTTGCCCGGGAGGTGCCTGAGCGCTCAATATCCCCAAGGAAAGGGGGATGCCATGTGGGCACTGAGCCCTTTCCCAGTGTTCCTCAGCCCCTGCAGGATTCCACCTGGATCCACAGAGAGCCCCACAGAGGGCCGCACACGGGGGCCACAGGCCGTGCCTGCTACATGTAAACACAGGGCTGGGACCAGGACACCTGGGTCCTCCTTCTGCCCATCGCAGGGTTTCCCAGGCAGCACCAGGGTATGGCAGGTAGGGGCAGCCCAGAGATGCAGGCGCAGAGAGTGGGCAAAGTCCACCCCACAGCTGCTACCACCCTGAGTCTGGGGACACTGACCTCTGGACCCCATGTTCCAAAGAGCCCACACCACCAGCGCAGCACCCAGAGGCAGCACACATTCACACAGAGAAACCTTAGGGCAGTTCCCGAGTTTACTGCTTCTGACTCCACACGGCTGGGGCCTTTGCGGGGCCCAGAGCCAGGCTCCCGATGCCCGGGCAGTGTGGGAGCTTCTCTCCGAGGAGAGACTTCTAGCCTGATGAGTCCTGGTCGGTGTCATCCTGGCTCAGGGTTCCTGGCCCTGGGGCTTCTGGCTGGGGTTGGGCAGAGTGCTGGGTGGCTGGTCCCCAGTGAGTAGGACTGGGGGGCAGGCCTCGGGTGAGATACAGTGGGCCTCGTGCTCCACCAGGCCTGCGGGGCACCGGCAGGCGGGAACACAGGGCCTTACGCAGTGGGCCGCCAGCTCCCCCAGGGGGACATGCTGGTTGAAGCAGGTGCGGGGACAGGGTGGGCCACACTCATCAAACACGAAGCCACGGTCCAGGAGGCAGCCCACCACTGCAGGTGGAGTGGAAAGCAGAGTCACTTTCCAGTCACCAGGCCCACTCCCTGTGACCCTCCCTGTACCTACGCTGTCCAGACCTGAGCCCTCCGTGTCACCCCTCCCCCAACTCGCACTGGGCATTGCCCCCTCACCGCAGAGCGTGGGGCCCCGCCAGGCAGGAGTCACCCCTGCTTGGCGACAGTGGCTGGCATAGGCTTCTAGGGCGTCACAGAGGCATTTGTCAGCCAAGAAGCCAGGACCACAAGCACAGAGGTCATACACGCAGGCGGCAAAGAAGGGCTCTGGTGGCACCACGGCATGGCAGCGACTGAACGGGGAGGACTTCAGCACCCTGCACCGGGCGTTGGCCTCACGCCTGGCACGGTACCCTGCTGCCCGGCATGGATCCACCTCACGGCCCTTGGAACAGGGCCGACCAGGTCCTGGCCCCTCTGGGACCTAGGTGGGGAAAGCGGCTCTATATGGCAGCCGACCTTTGTGTGCTATGTTCTTCAAAGCACTTTGCACCAAATATTTTGTTTTAGCCTCATAAACCTCCCTATAAGAACAGCAAAGGAAGCATCAGCTACTTTTCCTTTGTTCCCATTTTACAGATGGACAAACCAAGGCCCAGAGCAGGTAAGTTATTTGTCCAAGGTCACACAGTTCGTGAGCGGCAAAGCAGGGCTTGGGGATTCAGATGATAAGACCGCTTTCAACAGGCCATCCTGCCTCCCCCAGCACCATAGCAGGCAAGAAGTCCCCAACCTCCTTGAAAGCCCCAAAGCCCACCTTGCGTGCAAACTTCCCTTTCCATACCAGAAGGCTGCTCTGAGATTCATGCTCAACTGTGCCTCCCCCCGGCCCCCCAGCTCCTGTGTGACTCACCTGCCAGCTATTCCCAAACTCAGCCTCAGTGGACAGGAGCAGCCCCTCAGGGCCCTGCAGATCATCCTGGGCAAAGCCATTGAAGTTGCCACAGAGCCCACAAATCTGGCCCCGGTAGGAGCCAGGCACTCTCACCTCCACCTGGGACTGCCCATCCCACAGCACCTGTGCAGAGAGGCTGGGACTGGAGAGTGGGGAAAGGCAGGGGCCCCAGGAAGCCCAGTGCCGATCCTGGCGGCGTCAGCACGCCCCCTGCTGTAGGGGAGGAGAATGGACAGGTGGAGGTGTCTCCTGGAAGGGAGGATACAAGTAGGTACCTGCCCTGTCAGCCCTGGGCAAACACAGAAGACATGAAGAGCCACCCACAGCTCCCTCAAAAGGGCACCTTCTCCCCTCATCCTCCATGAACTCGGCGCCCCCATGAAATGCAACCCTCTTCCAGAGAGTCACTCTCTCATGGGCATTCAGGCCTTACCGAGAACAAAGCAGAATTAGAGTCTGTATCATAAGAGCACACAAGACTTATTTTATGAATTTACAAATGCGCTTGTTGCTGGAGGCCAGGGAGTGAACTACTCTTTGACATGGGAATTGGAGGAAATCTCTGAAGCCACCCAGGAGATGGCAGTTGACATTGCCCACCCTCCCAACCCTTCCCCCATTTGACTGATGGGAAAGCTGAGGCCAAGAGAGGATGGGCTTAAGGTAATGGTCTAAGAGCCCCAGTGCGTGGGTGGCTGAGCCAAGATTGCAAACCAGGCTCAGAACTCCTTTCATCACACGCGGAGGTCTCTAACCCTGATTCCTCTTCTCCCTTCAGAATCCAGCAGAACTCTCTCACCTCTGTGGCCTCATTTGGCCTGGGAGGTAGCTGGTATCCCCACTCCCTCTACAGATACAGACACCTGAACAGGCCCGAGGCTCCCCTGCACCCCACTCGCCCCGGCCGCACCTGGAGCCCCGGCTGGGCGTGTAGCATCACCGTGCGTCCCCGCAGCTCCACATACAGCAGAGGCTCCTGCAAGAAGGGCAAGGCAACGGGGCGCCCGTCCACCTGGAGGAGAAGGGAGGTGGGAGGAGGAGCGACGTCGGGACAGTGGAGAGGAAAGCGCAGGACCGACTTTCCCCGGGTCCTTGGCTTTACTCACCGTGACCGCCCTGCCCTGCAGCAGCCGCACGGCCACGTCTCCCAGCAGCACGGCCACCTCGTGGGTCCAGGACACGCCGCTCCGGCCCCGGTCATCGTTGGTCACGTGCACGCTGTGGCGTGGGAGGCCCAGATGCAGTGGTCAGCAGGGACGGGTGTAAGGGGGCAGGGAGAAGGCAGAGGGAGTTGCGCACCTAAAGTCGGCTCCACGGCAGTGCTTGGCCAGCACGTAGCTGCAGCTGCCCTGGAAGTGCAACAGGCGGCCGTCGAAGGTGCGGTAATGAGGGTCTCCGAAGGCCATGCAGGAAGCGGGCCGGGTCAGGCAGCGGGGACAGCAGCTGCCGGGACGCAGGGCGGGGGCCTCGTCCTGGCCTCCGCCCCAGACACCGTCAGACACGCAGAGCCTCCCGGGGCACGGAGGATCGCTGGGGAGGCTCCAGGGCTTACTCCTGGCGGGGGGGTCAGAGCGCCACCTCGTGGCTACTTCGGGAACTGCACGACCCGGGCAAGTCCAGCCTCCTTCTTCCCCGGGGCACCCAGGGGGGCGGTGCCAAGTGGCCACCCATCCCACCGCCTCAGACAGCAGCACTCACGGGCCCGCAGGAGAGCGGCGGGCAGCGCTGGCTCTGGCAGCTCACGGCGCCGGCTACGCAGGAGCAGCTGGTGCAGGCGTCCACGGCCCAGCGCTCCCCGGAGGCCACCTGCCGGCCCTGGTGCGCGCACGACTGGGCGGGGGCTGAGGGGACAGTAAGGGGCGAGGGTCCGCTGCCCATCCCTCACACTGGGTCTCGCTCCCGCCTCCCCCCTCCCCGACCCCCCCCCATCTCCCTAGCCCGCACCTTGGCATCTCTCACAGCACCTGCCAGCCTCCCGCACCTTCGCCCAGCCGTGGGGGCAGGAGAGGGCCTGGCACTCTTCCAGGTGGCACTCCACGCGGCCCCGCTGAGGACAGATGCCATGGCTCTAGGGACTTCCGGCAGGGTCTGGAGTCCCTGGCCTCACACTCTTGGAGCCCTTCTGGATCAGGGACTGGGGCGGGAGCCCCCTCTCTCTCTGCACCTTCAGCTACCTGCCCTCACACAGGGATGCCCAGAGGGGGCGCCTTTTTCTGATTACCTCGAAGACCCCATATTCTCTGGTCCAGTGACCAGAAGCTCCTCCCTTTATCCATCTCTCAGGTCCTCCACCCTCACCCTCCCACCCCCAGCTCACACGGCAGGTGCAAGTGATACAGTCGTCGCTGGGGTCCCGCCAGCTCTCTCCATCTGCCACTCTCCGGCCCTCAGCTTCCACCACACATTCTGAGGAGGAAGAAATGGGGATGGGAGAGCACTGTCATTCCGCCTGCATGAGCTCACCCTGAAGGCCAGGGCAGGGCGGTGCGCACCCCATCCAATTAGCACCCTGATGGTGTTGATTTCTTCAACCAGCACCATGGCCTACTAGATGGCAGACCCGGCACCAGTGCTCGGGATGTCCAGAGTGTCCCGGAAGCCACAAAAGCCAGAAGCTGGAACTTTCCTCTGGGCCGGCTGCCAGCTCAGCTGTGTGATGCCCTGCTAGTGGGCCTCGGGTCCTTGAGCCAAGCCTCAGGCCAGGCCTTGAGAATCCAGGCTTCATTCCCTGCCTCCCTCTACCTCATGGGTCCCTCCTCCACCCCAACGAACAGCCCTCCCTTTCTACAGAAGAACAAAGCCTGCATTCTGAGTGCACACCCCAGGTTGCCCACTTGGCCCATGGATGCCACCCCTCCTGTCTCCCTCCTGGCTCCGGCTCTGAGGACGCAGAACAAAATTGGGCATGCACCCTGGCACACGGGACAGCAGCTCCCAGGGGGGGTATGGCGCTCCAACAGGGGACAGCTGGGCTCAGGACAGGCCCGGTGAATGCAGAGCCAAGTCAGGTCCTGTGGAAGGGCACAGGAACACGACAGGTAGAGAACAGCAGGGAGGGAGCAGGGTGCGACATTCAGGACAAGTGGGCAAATGTCGGGGGTGAGTAGGAAGCCCAGAGCTGCTGCAGGAGAGGAGTCGCAGCCACAGCCCACAGAGGAGGAGGAAGAGGGGGCTTGAGGAGTCCCCAGGGCAGGAGGGCTCACCTGGCACTGGCAGGTGTAGCAGGGGTCTGGCGGGGCCAGCTTAGACCCCTGCAGGTGCTCCGTGCAGGGACTCAGCGGCTCTGTGTAGACAAGAACGCAGTATGGGAGATGCTGCCGGGATGGGGGTGGGGGACAAAGCCTAACTGACCCCTTATCCCCCTACTGCGACCCCGGGGTTTTTGGGCCCAGGGTATACTTATGGCCCTAACACCTTGATTCCAAGAATGACAGATCCCTTTTCCTTTTGTTCCAGCAAAGAAAAGTTTGGACTTTTGAAAAGGAACTTTGCTAGGCTGCTAGCATGGAGGGCCTGAAAACGGACAAAGCGTGGCTTCCTCAGCCTGAGGTCACTAAGGACCACTGGGCTGCCCGCCCTGCTCGCCCTCCCACTTTATCGTCTGAAAGGAAGCACAATGAGCCAGGTACCCCAGGTTCCAATCCTGGCTCCAGCACTCAGTGCCTGTGCCATTTTGGGCAAATTAATCAACTTCTCTGAACCTCAATTTCTTCATCTGTTAACAAAAGGAGTAATAACACCTCCTCACTGGGTAACTGTGAGAATTAAATGGGATGCTGTTTATTAAAAGTACAAGTACAGTGCGTGGCATGCAGTAGGTGCTTAGTAAATACTGTGCCTTTCCTCTTTCCCTGCAGCAGCACATCCAAACAAGTGTTGACAAGAACACCTCTCCCCACCTCTGTAGCTGGGCGACTCACTGCGCCTCTGGTCCTAATATCCCTGCCCTCAAGAAGCCAGCAGCCGGCACAGCTGCAACCCTGCAGCGCCACCTGCTGGACAAGATGCACCAGGCTTCAGAGTCAAGGGGTCCTGCTAGCTTCCCGTTTCCCCTTAGGGTATTACAGGTCTCACCCTCCAGGGTACAGGTTTCCAGAACAATCCACTGGACTCAGGAAAGGGCTGGGGCTGGGATTGTGGAGGAGGGCTGGCTGGCCCTTCCAGTGTCACTCTGGGGGTGGCAGCTCTGCCCTCTTTCCCCCCCAGTCCGGGGACTCACGGGCACAGGTGGGGCAGCAATGCTGGGGCCCAGGGGGCAGGAGCTGGCTGGTGGGACAGCCCACCAGGCTGGGACACTGCCGCCGGTGACAGCGAAGGCTGGGAGTTCCCTCAGGCTGCAGCTGAATGAGCGAGCAGGGGGTGGGTCCCAGGCCATGGAAGCTGAGAGCCACCCTCTTTCCTCTGGATGCCAGTCTCCTCCATCTGCCTTGGGCAGATCAGACGACAGTGTGCAGAGAGACTGAGCATCTCCTCACCCCATGCCCCAGTCCTCAGAGAGGACAGTGCCTGCTGCTGCAGTCACTGGGGCCTGAACCTTCATGTGGCCTTTGACCCTTCTGCACTCCCATGCCATCCCCCTCCCCAATCCCATTGCCTAATCTCCTGATCTATGATGTCGGTCACCTGCTCAAAACCCTTTCATTGGCTCACCCTTACCTTTCAAATAGAAGTTCCCCAGTATGTCCCCCAACCAATTCCCAGGCATCTCCCCGCAACCTTCTACCCACACCACCCCACACTCCAGCCAGGAGGGCCCGCCCACTGCCTGCCCCCCCAGACTTGCTGGCCCTGCCTTCTCTTCACCCCAAGCCCCTCCCTCACTCCCTGGCCACAGGGACACACTCCTGACTCCCCACAATGCCTGCTCCCCGCAGGGTCCAGGCTGCCCCTCAGCCTTGAGCTCCCCTACCTCACAGGTGCACACTTCACAGGGGTCTGCGCCAGGCTGGAAGCTCTCCCCGGGCTCATACTTCCGACCCTCATGCTCACAGGCTTGGCAGGGGTCGGGTGGGGGGTTAAGAGCAGAACAGAATCAGGGAGCTTTCAGGCTGGCAGCAATGCCAGGCCCCCCAGCCTCAGAGAATGGGGTGTGCATAAGAATGGGGGCCACTTCTCCTGGAACGACGCATCTCTGCCGCCCAGCCCAGGGCAATGGCAGGGAGATGCTGACAGGGCACTGCCTCCCTGCCCACGCCCCCCCACCCCAGGCTCCCAGTACCAGAGCATGGAGGGCAGCAGTCACGGGGCCCCAGGTGAGGCTGGGCACAGGAGGTGACACACTGGACGCGGGCACAGGTGATGACACCCTCATGACACATGCAGGAGGAACAGGGGCTGTCGGGGGGCTCCCAGCTACTGCCTTCAGGGTGCTCCTCCCCATGAACCAGGCAGCCTGTGTCCGAGGTGGGCAGGGATGAGCTCTGAGTCTGGGTTCTGCATGTCTGCCCCTGACCCAGCCCCCTCACCCTGGGTGCTCAGTAGGGTATGTGGGTGCCAGGAGGGGTTTCTGCAGGGATATAGTGGAAAGGTGTCCTGGGACAGAACTCCTGCCTGTGATGGAGGGGAAAGACACTGGGTCGGGGTCAGAACACCTGGACTCTAATCCCATTCCTCGTCTGCTTGCTAGACCCAGTGCCAGGCAGTAGGCACTGTCTGTTATAGCCCAGCGCCAGCAACAGACCTGGCCTGCAGCAAGTGTGTAATAAATGGACGTGGGATGAATGAGAGGCTCCATCAGTGACCGTGCGCCCAAGGTAACTCAATCTCTACAAGTCTCAGTCTCCCCATCCGTTAAATGGGGATTTCATCTCAGGGCAAGGAGACGCTGACAGTTCCTATACCATGCTGGGCAGTGTACGGGGCGAGGGCCCACACAGGCTAAAAAAGGCCCCTACTCTAGAACCAGACGGCCTAGATGCAAATCTTGACTCTGCCATCTACTGGCTAAGTGACCACAGGTAAGTTATGTTACCTCAGTTATCTCATCTATAAAATGGAAAAGTTAATAATAATACCTACTTGTTGAGATCGTTGTGTGCCTCAAATGAGGTATGTGTAAAGCGCTTAGCACATGGTATATGCTCAATAAATGTTAATTATCATTATTATCATTATGAATGGGGCGTGGTTAGGAATGGGCAGCTTCGAGGAGATTCTAATAAGCACCTAGAAGGGGAGACGGTCTGGATAGGCCAGGGGCGGGGATAGGGAGGAAGAGCTGAAGGTGAATGTGGTGAGAGCTCAAGGGCTGAGGTGTGGGAGGGACAGACGGGTGGACAGGGAGGTGGGAAGTCTGGAGGAGAGCTGAGGCGGGGGAGGTGGGGCCGATGGAGGGACGGAAACAAGGGAGCAGCCCCACTGGCCAGGCATACCTCTGCAGCGAGGGCAGCAGCTCCCGGGCTCTGTGACCTGGAGTGGGCAGGGCAGAGGTGGGCACTGCAGCCGCTCACAGCTGACCTGGCCAGCCTGCAGGAGATGTCTGGTCAGTGACTTGCTCTCCAGGCCAGCTGACCCCGCCCCTGCCCCCTCTGCCACCTCCCTACCACACCTGACAGCGACAGCGCTCACAGCTGCCTGCGGGCCCCTCAAACTCCTCCCCATCCTGGTGCTCCCGGCCCTGAGAGAGGCAGCCTGCGGGTGACATGTGTCCTGGGCGGGGGCTGTGCTACCAGTCCAGCATCAGAGCGGGAGAGCGGCAGAGTGGGAGGGGGAGGCGCGGGGGGGGGCGGGGCATGTGTGCTCACTGTGGCAAACAGGGCAGAAGCAAGGCCCTGGGGAGGGATGGGGGCACAGAGCTGGAGCACACGGCTTCTTCTGGCAGCGCACGGAGCCTTCCTGGGGGAGAGAGGCCACGCTGCCACTTCCCATGTCATCACACCCTCAACCAGGCCACACGCGGCCTCATGGGGGTGTGCCCCTACTGACCTGCCCGGCCCAGACCCCCTCCCTCAGCTCAGAAGGCCTGAGCCCAATCTGTCCTGATGGATGTCACAGGCAGCGTGTACCCTGGGAGGAGGAGACGACCTCTTTCTGGCCAGAGAGGAGGATCAAGGGATGAAGGGCTCCAAGCCCCCAAAGGGCCGCCTCACCTGACAGGTGCAGATGGAGCAGGTGGGGTCGAGCGGGTCAGGAAGGGTCTCTCCGGGGGCAGCGGTGACCCCATGATAGAGGCATCCTGGCAGAGGGGGGAATACAAGGCAGAGCCGCAATCAGCGGATCCCTCTGCTGACACAGGCGCGCGCACACACACACACACACACACACACACACACACACACACACACACAC